TTAGCTATGTTTTTAAAATCATCAGGGGTCTGTCTAGGTTTTTGTGAAAGGTACCGATTTTGTGAAAATTTTGACATAATTTGCGAAAAATTAAAAATTATATTAAATATGCATCACAAAAATTGGGATTTATCGTTCCTTACGGGATACAAAAATAAAACATTAAGAAAAAGTATTTTGTGAAACAACCGTTTTTCCTAAAGTTGAATTTGTGAAGGTACCGCTAAACAGTAGTAAATATGGCCTGTACAGATCCCTGCTAAATAACTATTAAAATTTTCAGTTTGCCAAATCTAAGATCATGGTGAATTGGCCGACTTCCCATGGTTGGAGGTCATTAAAAATCTTTTCAATCAACATATTTTATTCATGTTGTTTGAATTTTTAAATCTAAAGAATTTAATTATTTGTAACTGAGAATTTTTGCATTATAAGATAATTTCCTCATTTTATAATAATTGCACAATATATATACAGAAACTTTTAATCTGATTTTTGCTTCTCAATGATTATCTAATATCAAAGGTTTGTACATTAAATAACAACAAAATGACAAGGAAAAATCCTTTAATAAAATAAAAATAATGCTTTACGTTCACTTCAGACATTAATATCTAGGTGGTATCAAACATCATTACACCTTAGATATCATGCTAGAGAAAAATGCTGTTTGTCATCAATGACAGAAGTTTAGTAACTTGCTAAATAAGTGGTTTATACTTCCACCACCACATTACAATGCAGACATTACATTGCAAATAATCATGCAAGACAAAAATTCAATGAACAGAAGTTTCACAATAACATAAGTGATTTATACTGCCTTAGAGACAGAAAAGTAGACATTACATCACCGATAATCATGCAGAAAAATTCTTGGTTGACATAAGGAGAAGTTTTGCTGCTAAATAAGCAGTTTAATAAAGTAGTAGTTTTTCATTAGTACGTAGTTTATAAGTTGATTTTCACAGATATCAATGATTACCACTATAACACTTGGTCATTTGAAAAAGGTTGTCCCCTATTTCTTCAAACAATTGATCTTTTATTTATTTTACTCTACTTTTTCAGCAGATTTTAAAATGTGTTTTTGTTCCCAATAAAGTTATATTTGCTTGTTAAAAAAAAAAAAAATTATTTCTTCAATACTGTTTCAGTTAATAGATATAGCAACTTTAAAAGGTTTCCATGCGAAATTTCCATTGTTCAAATAAAATTTCCTTTGATCATTAGGCTATGATGATTCCATGATCCATTGCCCGTCTTATGAAAACATCATTTAGATATATTATGTATTTAAACTAATTTCATTTGTGTAGGTACAACATTGTTTCGAAATTTACAAATAGCTAAGTCCATAAGTACCAAGAAAAACTTTCTTTTCTTCTTAAATTTTATTGGAAGTCTAACATACAGCAATAACACTGTTTTTGGAAGAGGTTCTATATTGTATTTTCACAGAGATATAAAAAAATGCATATGCTTTGTATTTTCTGAAGAAAAGAAAATGGTCCTTATTTGGGAGAAAAAAATGAAAGAGGCTTTTCTTTTTTAAAAAAAAAGTAAGATCTTCCAGTAGAAAAGAAACTGCTTCAAATGTTTTTAACGACTGTGAATTATTTTGATGCTAAATTATTATTGAACAATGTCACCAATTTTTCATAATAATTATTCAAGTATTTTTAAACTTTAGTTCAGGCAACTTTTATAAGAGTAATAAATATATAGCTGAATCCCAGTGCCCTTCAAAATCAAAGTTGTCCTTGTTTTAGACATGAGCACTCTGTTCTATCTTATTCCTAGGGAGATCTCAGCCATTTACTACAGTAAAAAGAGAAAATTTCTAGAGATTGTAAAACTTAAGAAAAAAAGACATGTCAATTCATTTTTTACAGATTTGCTTATTAGTCTGCAGTTCCTTAAGTCATTCAAGTCACAGATTTTCGAAACATTTTTACTTGCACTTCTTCAAGCGTCCACTCAATTTTGTGACTGACTCTCATCTTTGGTATATCAATTAATGAAGAACAAAATTTTGAAGCAATGAGGCTCCATGATTGATTTCTCTGGATTCACATGAAAATACTTAATAGGTGAATAGTTTCCTAAATCAAGCTCAAAGATTATAATACTGATCTAAATAATACAGAGCATACTGACATCAGTTTTCAAGCGACATTAAACGATAGTGCTTGACCAGCAAGAAACTTATCAAGAAAGGAAAATAAAATTTTCTTCAGTAATTGAAGAAATATTCGGTGAACTTAACTTAGTCTCTATCTGATCAACAAAATCTTGAAAGATTTTCTTTTCGATTTCACAGAGCAGGAAATGAAGCCTTAAATTAGGAATCTCTTGCAAAATGTGGCAGTTGCACATGTGAGTGGTGGAATTCTTTTCACCAAATTTGTCTCAGAGCATGCACATATACCTGTGAGTAGTTAACAGAGCACATAAAATGACAGGCACTTCTAAAAAAATGACAAATTATCCAAAGATTGTCTCCGAGGGTCAATGGAATTTCGTAAAATTTGGTGAACATGTCCTATCCATTGATATAAGAACATTTGCAAAATTTGATTTCATAACATTAATAGTTTCCTCAAATACAGCTCTTTAAAGTTTTGTCAAAAATACATAAAAAGTGAGGAAATGTTTTTTTAACAAACATACATACTAATATATTTACAATAAAAGTTTTGCTTTTGTTAACTAATTTTGCTATGTGTTCAGAATTAAATTTAGATCCTGATTGGTGAAAAATGTCTTCCAGCAAAAAGCTCACCACTCAGAATCTCATTTTGTTTTCCTGTGGCGACCGGAAGAGCATGTACTGCATTCAATGAGAATGGCGCCCCTAAAATTTGTCTATTTCAAACCCATTGGAGAAAAAATGATACAATAAAATTAATGAAGTTTGGACACTTCACCAAGTTAAAGCCACCATTTAAACAATCATATTTAATTGTTCAACAACTTATTAAATCTATAAATAACAATACAATAAACAAAATGAATTTATACCAATATATTTTTTTCAATTAAAATAAAATATATATATATTGTTCGAAATGGGCTTCAGATTATTTTCCACAGATGGTTCGACTTTGTATGAGTGTCCCATATTCGATGTTACCTGTGGAGCTTCAACAACACATAAAATATGCTGAAGAAGAACAGAACACTTATCTTTTTGCTTAGGCCAATAAAATGCTTCCGATGGTCCGATAGGGTAAAAGTCACCATTATTTCTGTAGTCAACTAATCCGCAGATTGTTTTCGTAAACACAACTAATATAATTTAACCGTTATTTTATTGAAAATCTTTGTTTGTTACAGGCTTTAAGTGAATTTTAAAATAAACATAGCAGGACTCTTGTCTTAGTTTGAAAAAATTTAAATAATATAAGTGATGAAAGTATGTGGTACAATCTTTTTTATCATAATTCTAAAAACTTGCCCTCTATAACAATAATTCTGATTATTCATCATTCAGTTTCATTTACATAATAAATATATCTCTTTCAGAAGTGAAATATTCATCATAAGAAGAAGATAATAGCTAAGTCCCAACTTTTTAGGCTGTACTACTAGACCCACTAGCTATAGAAAAATAAACTTTCAGAAAAACAAAACTATTATAAATGCTAGAATAACAGCACTAACTCAATTTAAAAATAAACAGCATTACAATAATATCATATAAAAAAAAACAAAGAAAACAATATAATTAAAAAATAAATTATAAATTTTTTTATAGTTTGGAGAGAAAATACTCAAGTTAAGAGTTATTTTTTTGTTACAGCTTTGCACTACAGATCAAAAAAGCAGTGACAAGTCCAAAACAATTTTGATTCTGTTCTGAATACCATTTAAAATAAAACCTGAACATTGAAAAAAAAAATAATAAGTAAAAAAATAACTCAAGATATAAGCCAAAAAGTAACTAGCATTGTCAGCATTTATCATAATTAAAACATCTGATTTCATTCTCATTATTAAACCTGAATACTTTGTATCACTAACTGTATGGATAATGACTACCCATTTTAATCAAAGCATATTTAATTCAATACAAATGAAACATTTTTAAAGAGCAATAAAATCTTATTACTTCCTAGGTTAATTAACAGTATGGTTTGCTGGATTGCTTTCGACTCTTTAGAGGTGTATTTTCCCTTTATAATTTGTCTGAACATAAATTATTATTCAAATGCATTTTTATTTTTTAATGACTATAATGATTTCTATTTTTAAGTAAGTTTTATTTTGCGTCATTTTTATTTTTGAATGCTTATTTACAAAATGATTAGTGAATGACCGACCATATTACTGACTATTTTAAAAAAAACATGTAAAAATGACTATTTTATAGCAAAAAATGTTCCAACATTTAAGTTCGTTAAAAAACAAGAAATTCATTACTTAAAAGAGCAGTAATTCCTAAAATAATTGGTACAATGAGGTAAAAATTTATAGTCATTCTTATATCCGTGTAAAGAACACACTCCTCATGTTTCATAACAACGAAACGGATTGTGGTAGAATGACCCACTTGCAAAAACCATGTGTTTTAAAACCACACGTTTTCATGTAACTCGTGGCAGCAATCGGCACAAACAATGAAGAAAAAATGCCTCTTCTTAGCAAAAAAATAATTAAATTCTTTCAACAAACCCCTAACGAAAACTAAGCAGAAGCACTTTTTAAAAGCGTTACGCACCTGGCAATATCTGTAGATACGGTTCAATCTACTTAAAAAAGTAGAAAAAGTTAAACTCTATTTGATAAAAATATGAAATAAAAATTGATGTTTAAACATTTGAGAGGTAAAACCTAAAAATTCTATATTATCCTATAATACTTTACATTAAACACCTATGTTAATTTATGAGTTACAACACTATCAGTAGTAATACATATCTTAACTGGCTTCAATAAGATATGGAGATTATTTTACACCAAACAAATAAGAATCAAAAAATAAAATGTTTACTTACTCTAACATCATATAAACGATTTTTGGCTTGTAATCAAAGATATTGAAAACTTTTGGTGGTGGAGAATATCCATGAAACGTGTTTGCAAATTTTTTACTATTCATGGACAGGAACAATGAATGTGCCGGAAAAGATCTAGTATTAGTTCCATCATTCACTCGTATCTCAACATCACTAAAGCTTTCATTGTTCAGCAATGCAGCAGCTTTACTACGAAAGCCTGACTCATTTAAGTCATTCTAAATTAAAATAAACATGACAATTTAATATTTCATACCAAAAGGTTTTAACAGAAATAAAATAGTTAAGTTTTTGTAGCATTCAAACTTTTTAAAACAAGTTTAAGACAAAACGAGTATAAAAATTATCCGCATTATTTGATATTGCAGGTATATTTCCATTTCAGTACTTGGACATACCAACTAAAATTGACAAGACAACAAATGAAACTGCCCTGTTGTTTAACTTGGAATAAATTAAAGAAAAATATTTAGAGGAGCAATTCCATGGTGTCCAAAGTAAAAAATGAACATAAATTTCATACAAAAGCTCTCTCAAAAATATATGTTTAAAATGGTAATTTTTTTTTTTTAAAATATTTGGTACAGCGTGATCTGTCAAAAAACAGATTGCTTTCTAAAAACTGATAGTACTGGGTTCAAGTTAAATCAAATAGTTGCTGCCAGACAAAAATCACACAAAAGCAAAAAATTATTACTCATTTACAAATTGTATAAATAATTTGAATTTGTTTATAATTTCAATGTAAACTTGACTGAATTTAGAAGCTGACATTTGAATAAAGAAATCCAGGCAGTTTTTAATTTGTAAAATATGAGGTGTAATTTGTAATATATTTTATGTATNTTGACGTGACGGTTTAAACCATGGTTTAAACTGTCAAAAACTGTCACATGTCAAAAACCTGCCAACCCTGGTATTAATAGTACTGAGAAATACTCTCAAGAGATTGACTTGAAGTTTGTTGAAAACGAAAATATGATTTGCCTGGAACAGGTTACAATATAAACATCTTGACATGGTTGCCAGGAATATGCAAACAAGATAAGAAATAGCATAAATAATAAATGATATGAAAACTCATTACTAAATATTATAAAACTAAATAAATTAATTAAGATATTACATAATTAATTTGAAGTTTTTTACTTTGGTGTCAAGACGTAAATTCCTCTAGTTGCAATATAAGTTCAAACCTTGGCGAACAAAGAACACGGGGCGCGCTCAAAAGAGCAGAAAATCAGGGTCATGAATCGTGGTTGCCGGGAGAAAAGTGTTGCACCAAGCAGACTCCTCAATTCTGCTTTTAACATGTAAAGTCTATGGCGGGCTTGTCATACTTTGAATCGATTTTTCTTGTTCAAGAATCGGAGTGATCAATTAAAAAAAAATACTAATAATTTTTTCAATCTTTCCTATCCACGAAAATGTAGGTTAATTTTTTTAATCTTTATTACTTTTTGTAATATTGCCTTTGAAACACAAGTCACTTTCTACCTTTGAGTAAGGGAGGAAGGCAACTTCCACCCCCAAGTTCACTAATCTTCTCGGTGGGAGGTCTTGCTCCCTTTTGAAAATCTTTTTCTCTCTCTGTCCTTCTGAAGAACTGATATGGGGAACGCTTTAAAAACCGATAGCTTTCTTTTTAGTTATAAGCTTGTAATTTATTATGAAAATTATATTTGCTGATAATTCGTTCATTCTATATACATTTTATTTATTTAGTAGTAATAATTTTCTTGTTTTTATTCATTTTGAGAATGGAATTTATTTTTTAAATACATTATTCCCCTTTTTTTAAACTTTGTTTCTTGTTTTTTAAAGATGTTTCAGAATTAAAAAAATTAGCTGCTGAATAAAGTGAGATTAATTAAAATCGAATAAATGACGTAAAGATCTTCCAATATACTATAAAGCATCACAAAACTGCAGTTTTCCTTTTTTTT